GTTGCCTTGAAAAAAAATTTCCCTTTGCCTGTTATTTTATTTTAAATTCTTTAGAGAAGTTTCTTTAATTTTGCTAGCAAAACGTTCGAACACATTCCTTCTTTGCTCATTCAATATAATCCTTAAGAGTCTTTTATATCCTAGTGATTTGCTAAAAATAATTCTTCATTATCTGATTACGGTGAACAGGATTTAAATAAAGGAAATGTCGGAAATGAATGTGGAATGAGGGAGAGACAAAGTAGACGACTTTGTTTAAAGTAAGTCATAAGAGTGCAAGCATATATGTATAAGAAATTCGCTCCTCCCAGCAGCATCATGATGACAATAATGACGTCATAAACATAAAATCGATAGCTAACACTACCTAAGCAACAGAAACTCTCGTAACGAAAGTTCTAAGTAATTTTTTTTTTTTTTTTTTATATATATACATATATATATATATATATACACATACGTGGTAGGTTATAAAAATTTTGCTTAAACTCGTTACAAATACTTCTATCACATATGTGAATCTTTGTTCATTTCACAGTTTGTTACCAAATAAATTTAAAGGTTAATGACAGCTTATAATTCAGTTTGCTGGCTGCAAATTAAATGATTTTTTTAACTATATATTCCACGAAATTTCCAGCTGATTTATTAAGATACAGATTGTAATAATTCATTTTGAAATATTCCTAAGAACGATAAAGGTACGATGTTGATCTTCCATACTCCCTAACAAACTTGAAATGATTATGTCGTTATGATGGCGGATCGAATAAGCGAGTTGACTCAAATTCTTAATGGGGAAATATTCAAATTTTGTAATCACAATTTGACCGGAAATTTTTGGCCCAACGAACGCGTATACGCTTTCTGAATAAAGCAGTGCTTGCATATGACTAATGAATATAATGCTTGAACTGTGATTACAATGAAAACAGTTATGCACGCATCCTTCATAAATATTTTATTTATATTTATATATATATATATGTATAATGAACGGTCAACTTCGAAAGGCATCACATAACCAAATTAATTAGGACACATCATTAATAATAGACTATATCCTCTCTGGATGGATATTTCACTTGCCAAATCGATTAACTCCACAACTAAAAGAAGAAGTTAAGAAAAATGATAAAAAATTATTATAAATAAATTATTTATTATTCAGTGGCCAAAACGATTTTGTTCAATAATATTTGTTCGCTAATACTTATTATTAGAGAAATTTGTTTTGAATATGTACAGTTAGGAGCTAATGATATGCTTTGATATTAAAATTTAATAAAATTCCAAAAATGAAGTTAATCGATTTGGCAAGTGAAGCATGCAAATGATAATTCAATTCTTCACCGATTGGATTGTTGTTCATACATTCATAACTCGAGTATCATGCTTAACTTTTAAAGTTTCTTGATTACAACAAGATTACACTCGGTCTCTGATGGTGGTGCAACGCATCATTAAAAACATTTTAAAAACCCGATTAACAAGTGTACTTAGTAGGTAAGAGGCTTAAAAGTTTTGTAGCGATAGCTTTCCGTTCCCCTCTCTTATTTTTTTATTTTTTTATTTTTTTATTTTTTTTTGTTAGCTAATAATGTTAATTGTAAGTGAATTCACTTGTTCAAAATGCTCCTGTGAGCACACAAATCAAGTAAAAGGATCTTCGCGTGCATTGTTTGGCCCGGCTTTGAACGAATTCACAGTGCACCACGAACACCAGCTATTAACAACTTTGGCGCGGTTTTTCCGCTTTTGGCTCGCCTTAGGCATGCCTATCATTCGCTCGAATGATCTTTTGTTTTCGTATCGTATACGTATATTCAAGTTCCATGTTCGGTAATGATGCTTTCTTCTCATGATGCCCGAATAATCTAAAAACATTACTTCATAGACATATTAAAAATGTGGAATACTTTACAACATAGGGTGGGTGTGGTTGATTTTTATCGCGTTTTAGTAGAATATATGAGTAAAAAAACCTCGAAAGTAGAGATATTCTTAGTTTATGTTGTACTGTAAGCGTGTCTCTCGAAGATCGATTTCATACCACTTCAATACCAATCTGCTTGTAAGAACCGTTAACGCTTGTGTGTTTGCAGCCAAGGGAACGTTTACAACAGACACCACCCAGATGGACATGTTAAGTTTGCACAGATTCATGTAACATCCAGAAGGGCTTAAAATATTCTTAATCTTTCGATCGATTCCAAATTAATAATTTGCGAAATTCTCTTTAAAGCTCGTATGTCGGTATGTCTGTCTGTCTATCTGGTGTCTGTGCATGCACTTTTGGTCGTAGCTAGAAGCTTAATAAAGCTATGGGAAAAATATTGCCTATTCAATCAATATCATAGTCATATTACAGCATGCGTGAGAGGTGAAAACAAACATATATAGGAATTCAATCGAGAGTATTTACGTTTCGTTATACGTGTTATATAAGCGATAAGACTTTGTCAGATCTGTGAAAATCTTGTCCTTATAGTGAAGATATGTCTTATCAAAATCAAATTATTTGCTTCGCTTCGTAATCTAATCAACACAAAAAAAAACCTGTTGAATCAATTTGTTAAGGTTGGAAACTGGATGGTTTTGGGAATCGTATGAATTGACAGCGAAATATTTAATGGAACAAATTTTCGATCTACGAATTGGTAGTGAAAACAAACGGAATCAAATCCATTTGAATGAAATTTACTTCATGTATGAAAAATGGACATAGTCGGAGACGAAGATGAACCTGTATAAACCGAGTCGGGCTCCGTACGCCGCTCCAACTTGGCGAAACGATTAGTTTTACACTCTAATCGAAAATTGACCAATAGGGAATATGTCGTTTTCTTGGTCTTCACGACCACCACACATATCGTTTATTATTCGGTAAAAATTGAGAGAGCTCGGCTAAAATATGTCCATACGTCCATTGTTTACAAGTTTTGACTTGTCTTGTCAAATTGTTAAGTTCCTCGATCTGTGCAGGATTTTTTTTATGATGTAAAGCGAAAAAAAAGATGATGAAAGATGAAAATTAGTTGATTTAGTTTTTCGCCTAGAAATCCTAAATGTTCTACAATGATAGCATAGTATAATGATGTCAAAAGAAGAAGAGGCCACAAGGCTATCGCTTAAAATGGCTTGATTTAATGGCTTCATTTAAAATGTAAGCGGCGAAATGTGTTTGAATTTTAATCGAAATGTGCCGGGAATTGTGGTTTCACATACTCCATGATAAGATGATATGTTAAACCGCGGCAAGGCGGCTATAGCGTTTTCTAATTGGCTACGGTTTATTAATTTTTTGTTTTTTGTTTTTTTAATTAACATTTTTAATTTGTTTTCAAAGCTGTGTTCTGTTAACTTAATTAATTTTTTAGTTCGACCGTGGGCGGTTCACTTTTCATTTAACCGATTTAAAATATAATATTTTCGTAACCAAAAATGAAAATCAATTTTAACTATATTTTAACTTAACTAAGTGAAACAACAACAAATAGAAAGACAGCTGCACTTGCTCAATAACGAATTGTTAATGACTTACTTACAAATGTATTACATACATATATTTGCCCATAAATTTAATTTATTACCTATTTAGACCTGTAATACTTACTTCGGACCCATCCCCATTAAAACGTGTCAGTATTCTTTTCCCTTCTGCCAACCAATTCCGCTAATATGTATCGATCAAATGAAATTGAGCTGAAGAGAGAGAGAGAGAGAGTAATACCTAAACAGAGTAATTAAGACGTCCATCCTTTCAGTCTATTGGCTTAAATTTAGTGTAATATCTTTCATTACTTTTGCACTGAAAGAAAGAAATCAAGCAAGCATGGCTTTCTCTATCCATTATTTTCAAGCAGAACGATGATGATGATGAAAGAAGAAGACTTTGAAGGAACTTTTCAAATGAGCAAAGCTTAAGGGATTAAAAAGAGTCATTATTCTTCTAACAACTTCAATGAAGTAAAGAAATTAATATTAAATTGTTCGAATATAGATGCCAAATATGCAAGTGACATTGTCTACACATTGAATATGTCTTATGGGAAAAATTGCCTTAAATGTATTCTCCAGACATGTTTTCATTTAACTGTGAAACGAACGAATTGATAGAAATTATTTTCATCAAATTATTATGATATTCTGGACTGTGTATAACAGCATTTCTTTACTCTCAGTTTTTCGGCAGGGGAATCAAGCGTTTTTAACCGATATGTTAAATAACAATGATTTACTTTTCAATTAATTATTCTATCAACGACACTGGCTACTGGCTACTGACTATTCCAACTACCAACCCTCGTAGCTAACTAACTAAACAGTTACCCTTAAAGGTGTCGTCTTATTGAATATGCTTAGAGAGTAAGCAATAGGCACGCACGATGAGAAGGAAACAGAGTGAGAGAAAGAGGAAGCAGTAGAAAGAGAATAAAGCAGAATAAATAGTGAAAAACATTTACTCACTCTCTCTCTCATTTTCTCTCTCTCTCTCTCCCTCTCCCTCTCTCCCTCTTTATCTCTCTCTCTCTCTCTCTCTCTATACCTCTTTCTTTCTCTCTCTGCCGTTTCAAACAGCATCTGGTCTAATGCATGCGATATGAGCGGAATGCTCTTAACGATAATATATCACATCGGTAGTATATAAGGAGAAAATTATTCAGTTATTATTTAAACCTGTACTGAACTGATTCGCACACAGTAAACGGAGTAATAACGCCAACCGTGCGCCGTTTAAACTGAAAAGCACAAACTTTTGATTAATCAATACTTGGAAAAATAAATAAATTAAACAAAACAATCGCAACAACAACAAGCTCCGCTAACTTGCAAAGCCAACAATATTTAGTGGGGAATTAACGAGCGGCGATTTATTACAAATTTACAATTATATATATATATATATATATATATATATATATACATTTATGTAAAATAAAAAATGTATATTTTTTTTCATTTTTGAAACAAAAAAATCTTTCAAAAAATTATATGAAATAAAAAAAAAAAAAATAAGAAAAGAAGAGTAACAACAGCGCAACAATAACAACAACGACGTTGGTTAACCTAAAGTGAATATTGTATTTGGAAAAATTTTTAAAGAGGTCACCAAATTAACAGCCCTTTAACCGGTACAAGTGCTAATTGGAGCTTTTAGTTAAGAGAGGCACAGGCACGTCAAGAAGGAAATTTCACGCAAACGCTAATTGGAGATGACAGTCAAAAAAAAAGTTAAACACAACAATAAGGAACAAATTTAATTAATAATAATAATAATAATAATAATAATCAACACTGTAAGAAGCTAAAGAAGACAAAACACCAAATTTTGATTTGCTCGTCGTTTGTAAGCTATCGTTTATTCGTTCAGGTATACCAAAGATTGCACTGGAATTTTCAATGAATGAATAGACGCAATAAGAATTGTATTTCAGGAGTAACACCTACGCAAACGTTTTATTTATAATTATCAACCTGTACGTCAGAGAGAAGTAGAGAATTAAGAAATTTTTCCCCCCGCGTTGTAAATAAATTTCGCATAGAGTTGTGGAAAAAGTTCATCAAGCATACCATCTACGTCACGGCACCAAAAAAGTTCTTAAGTAATAAGAACATATCGATTAAAACTTTAATAATAGATGATAATTGCATATAGCAGAGAAGCAGACAAACGAAAGAAATAGAAAAAAAATTAAAAAATAAAAAATTAAAAACAAACTAATATAAATAACATAGAGCTTTAATCAATGGCGTTCACACCTATCGCCTGCATAATGCGTCCATCGTTCTTACCACTTCTATATATATATATCGTTTTAAACGTTACGTTAACTTCAAGATGCCAAGCTGCCACGGTACCGCATTTTCACGATAAAGAAGATGAAAGTTTTGTGGCAAATCCTTTTTATCATTCTAATCCCGATCTTGAGGATATGTTCTCTCGTTTCTTAAAAAATTATCCGGAACATGCCCAAGTTTATACAATCGGTCATTCAACGGAAGGTCGACCTTTACTTGTTTTGAAAATTTGCCAGCATTCGCGTTACACTAATCTCTTAACACCGTCCGTTAAGCTCGTTGCGAATATGCATGGCGACGAAGTAGTCGGTCGCCAAATGCTAATATATTTCGCGCAATATCTATTAATGAATTATCAAACGAATTTGGAAATATCGGAACTAATCAATAGTACAGACATTTATATTATGCCTTCGATGAATCCGGATGGCTTTCAAGTTGCTCAGGTAATATTGTATGAAGAGAAAATTTAATTAATTGAAAATTAAATTTTCAAATTTTATTAAATACATACATTTATATAATTTAATGCAGAAATTCTTAGAATAGATTTGAACAATGAAATTTTGCAGATCAACTATACTGATCTACAAATTAAATATTTTCTAATCGTGTCCGAACACAACGATCCGCATTTGATTGTGTAATATAAATGCACTTAAAAGTCAAGAAAGAGCACTACAATGGACTATGATTTACCATTAAATACCCTACATAACGTTATCGATATTAATGTAACGACTTTTCACAATGACGCCTTATATGGGAAGTAATCGAAAAAGTGCTCCTATTCGAATCATTTTTTTTTTAAGAAAAAATAGTTTAGTCCTTAAGCCAAAACACGCGAGCGCAGCAAATTTCATTAATATATTATAGACATCAAATATGGCCGACAAACTTATATTGATAAGCTTAAATCGATTGAGAAAGTGATTCTGTAGGGGATCACTATAACAAAACAGGTAGTTCCCTATTAAGTTCCTCAAAATTTCGCATGCATCCGAATAAAAGTGATCATTTAAGTGTGTATGACGATAATATATATGTCATTATCCGTTCATCCGTCCTTGTCGGATTTTCACATTTCCTTAAATTTTATCATTTTTAATGTGTATGTGTTCCCATAATAATGTATTCTAAAAAATATTTTTCTCACTTTATCAAATCATTCCATTACAATTTAATTTCATATTAGATGTATACTCTGTGGTTGACGAGTATACTCATCATCGCTTAAAAGGTCAACATAATTAATATGCTCGTGTACCACATATGCTTTAGGGTATAACGATGCAATATAACGACAGCAAAGTCGTCCATGTCAGATCTTTAGCTTTTTTGATAGATCATAAATCTGGGATATATGATTATAGGAATTCAGCCAAGTTTTGATAAAAAAACCAACCCATTGAAAATTTTCAATTGGACATGGTATAAATTTCTCGGCTGAGTAGCCTAGTAGATAAGAATCGCGACTATCAAGTCTATGATCGTGGGCTCAAATCACAAGTGAGATAGAATAGACTACTGGTCTTAGCTGTACTGAGTGCTTAGTTGGCCAAGGCATGCACAACACTTATCGATTGTGCGCATATTCAAGTCCGACCATCACTTTCTCTATCCTCTACTCTTTACTCACTTCACTCTGATCGTCACCGTGTTACACGAATAGGAGCGAATCGATCCATATTATATATATATATATATATCCATATTATATATATATATATATATATTACATCTATGAAATAAAACTTTACAATAGCATTAAAGCATTTTGGATGACAGCAAGCTTATGAATTGGAAAGAATACAGTTATCCCATCCCGTTCGAATTTATTATAGAATTTTTTCGAAAAATGTAAAGTTTAGATGACATATCAGACGAACATCTTGACACAAACAGAGAAGTTACCAAGAACGAGATGAAGAGGGAGAGAGAGAGAGAGAGAGAGAGAGAGAGAGAGAGAGAGAGAAACAAAAAAAAAAAAGAAAGAGAAAGAGATGTTGAGAGATGGGATAGAGATGGAGCCGATTAGTGAGTTGTCGATTATTACAATGCCACGTTCATTGCTGATCTGATCAGAGTTAGCGAAAGAAGATTTATTTATTTATAATTGACACCTGTGACTTTAATTTCACCTTATATTTAACACGCTATCAATATTCCAGTAAATTACATTTATTTGCAAATACATGTTAAATTATTATTCAATGGCCTTTATTTATTCAAACAAATCTGGGTATTGTTTGTTAGTCGTCTATAGCGCAAATTACAATTGCTGGCATAAAAAAAAAAAAACATTAGTATTTTTCATTTTATTTCATTTATTTATTGTTATTTATTTTTAAAAAATATCCACTAAAGGTATTTATTCTCTTCATACGACTTTAAATTATTCGCAACATTACATGAATAACAGAATGAACGCGTTACTCTTTGCCATCATTCATGATTAAAGTGTTATAAGCAAAAAATAAAAAACAAAAAAAAAAAAGAACTTGGCAAAGACCGAACCTACGCTTGCTAATGTAACATATGTTATATTAAAAGTTATTAAAATGATAGAACTGCTACAGCATAACGTTAATATGAACGAATAATAATAACTTGCTTTCAATCCCATAATCCTTGAAGGCAACACCTAATGATAGACATTTCTCACACGCCAGCACATCCGAAGAGCAATTTTTAGTTCCAATACATGTATAATTCCGAAGCCTATGTCCAATTGCACATATTAAAAATAAAGGACTGTAGAAAATCGGGTTTTCATTGCTTCTACTTCTGTTTGCTAATCATGTGCAAGAGAATCTAAGATGATCCGATTTCACTTTGACCTGAACATACAAGAGGTTTAGATCGATCGATTATAATGTCCTAGGCTTGAGATTGCGATGTTATCGAATTTCGAATGAAACGGTACACTTTAGGCTTAAGAATAGTGCTTGTATGCGTTACATAATGTTTAACAAATTGATTATATAATCTTTCGTGGCTATAGAAACAAACGAAACGGAATTATGCTTAATAATGTTCTAAAAATTTGCATAAAAATACATTATAAAGGGGGAAAAAAGAAGAAACTATCAGGTTATGCTCTCTCTCTCTCTCTCACTCTCTCTCTCTCTCTCTCTCTCTCTCTCTCTCTCTCTCTCTCTCTCTCTCTCTCCCCGTATGTAATCATAACATAGAGTTATTGTTCCCTTAAACGAAAAAAAAAAGAAGAAAAGAAGAAGAAGAAGAAGAAAACACTTACGTGTTTAAGATTGCAAGATGAGTTTTGCGTATTGAATGTTTCCGCATGTTTGCTCTTGCATTCATTTTAAACAGTTACTAAATAAATCGTTTAAAGTTTTTTCACGTACATGTACATATATATAACAAAAAAAAGCCTGCGATCATGCGCCTAAAAAGCACAATTATTCAGATATGTCTTTGCTTCGCTTGTGTGTTTGCTATTGTGAGAGAATTTCATTTATTTCATGACTTTACAATGAAATCTATTAAATTGTTGTAATTGCTATGAATATATATATATATATATATGTGTGTGTGTGTGTGTGTTTTTTTTTTTTCCTATGTACAAGTTTGTTTACTCCATATACATAAATTAACAGCTTTTGTTTTGATTATTTTCTACAGCAAACAAAACGAAAAAAAGAAAAAAAAAAAAAAAAACAAGTAAAAGTTATCTACATAGTCACCTGCTATGAAATGTTAATTGCACTTCACTGAAACGCGCGAACATATACATATCTTCATGTGTGTGGTTCATTAAACTATAGTCAGTTAAGAAAGAAAACAAAAAAAAAAAACAAAAAGAAATAGAGATAAATGAATTTGAATTTTTCTAAAACAATATCATTGCATTGTTTTAATTTAATAGAGCAACAATACATTTGTTGCAGTGTGTGCACTGTTTATAGAATTTTTCAGGATAAAATCAAATTTTTTCCTTAACTATTCCTAAATAATTAATTAATCATTAAAAAGCGCTAAGCCGCTTAACGAAAACTTAAAAAGGCATCTCTTATGATCTCCACTCCAAGACCATCTAATAAAATGTTTCGTAACTTCAATACGTTCGCGCGGACATGAACACTGACTATCGCATTTACAATTTCAAAGTCAATCAGTTCATCAGTTCAGTTTACATAATTTTTCTTTCGATTTTGTAATATATATATATATATATATATATATATATATATATATAGAAAGGATAAGAGATAGAATTTCCTTGCAATGATCATATATCATAACTAATTAATAAGAACTTTTACATATATATATATAAAGGTTAAGATATAATTTTCTTATAAAGTATGTCCCAATATGTTCAGATATCGTAATTAATTAATTCTGGAAAATAATTGCAATTATTCTTGCAAGTGAATGTGTTAAGTATTTCGAAAACAGTGAGATGGACATGACCCATCTAAGCTAAGCAGATCTATAGACAAACTACATGCATTTTAAGATTTTAGTTGGAAAAGTTTTTCACCTACTTTAGGGAACCTGCCATCACGCAGACGGACAGACGATAGCGAATATGCAGATTCTATTTTCAGATCCTTATCTCTTTCCTTTTGTAAGGAACCCATATGAATAAGAGATTTCTCGTTTACATCAATTACTACGACGTCTTTAGCACTCTAATCGGAAATTCAATGTTAACCGGTCGACTCTATACGAATACGAGTTAATTCAATTATAATAATTTTTTCATTTCTATTTTAAATTCTGACTGATGGTGAACGAGATAAGGAGAAGATATGTTGATACCGTACGCTTAGTACTCTCCTTCAAATTCGAAAGATTTTTTAAAAATTGAATATTTTTCGATATCCGTTATTCGAAGAATTTTTATTGCAAGCAATTTAAAACGCTGTAGCCGGGCAAACTTGATTCCTTAACCTTCTCTTACGCTAAGTCATCTAATACAGGGTTTCATATATCGTCGCCATGAAATCCCATTACTTTATAAAAAGTCTTACTTTTCCCATTAAGGAGAATCTGAAAACAGAATCTTGCCTTAGTTCAAATTTACCATAGAAAACTGATATGTCAAAACAATATATAACATGTTACTGTCATATAAATATATATATATATTTTATACTACAACATTTATATCGGTAAGAGACGTAAAAAATGGGTCAATCCTCCATTCATTTCGTATACTGAAATGTTAAATTTCTCTGACATATTACAAATCGAAAATATATATATATATATATATATTTTATGATCAAAATGCGATTTGATACGGGAAACGATCGTAGAAATACTTCAATGCAAATTCATTGTCAATAGTGTGCATCGTTAGTCACTGTGTCAAAAAAATGTAATCCGAATATGTTAAAAATTGCGGCATTTACATGGCCCGATATGACACACACACACACCCAGACAGACAGATCTAAAATGATTCGAAATTGATCGATATAATTCAAGATGGCTCTACACTTTAGGCTCTGCTAGATGTTGCATACATCGACACAAACCTAATGTACTCTATACCATAAGTGATGTAAACGCGCAAACTCTATATATATAAAAAAAAAAAAAAAAATATTTACAAATTTTCTCGATATTTCAAAAATTAGGTTTTTCCTTCAAGTTCGTTAATGTATTTCAAACCTGTTTTATTAAAGTAGACAATGTCGTGCTATAATTACCTATAAAAGTATATTTAGGTTTTTTTTATGCCCACCATCAAAGAGCGAGCATATACTAGATTTGTCACATAAGTTGTAACGTCCATAAATGCTCATCAGAAACTTTGCTAATTACATACATATGTATTATATATATATATATATATATATATATATACGGGTCTTAGCTAAATCTGCTTATTAGAGGATTAAAAAAACCTGATATTTTACATATATACTCTTATTTGATGATCATAAATTATATTCGAAATAAAATCGAATCTGACAAGAAACCTCTTACACATTCAATAAGGAAACTATCTAGTCCCAATGACACACCCATAACCAAAAAAAAGTACTTTACAAATTTCATATACTCGCGAACGTATCTATAATAGTATATGTAACAGTAGAAGGCCGAGAGCGTTATGAGCCTTCAATTCGATCAATGAAAAAAAAATTGATAAGAAACATTATCAACTTTTTGTTGTTGCAAAATTGATTAAATGGCATTTCCTTTTGTTCATCCATTCTATTAGCAGTGCAGTAACTGTTCGCATAGTTTCCCGTGGCCGTAAGTAATAATAAAAAAAAAATAAAAAAAAAAAAAAGGAAACAAAGAAAGTATATTAAATGATTGATAGGTATCCAAAATTCGTTTCGAAGTAATTATTATTTCCTTAGTCGATTACATTTTAATTTTTTTTTGTAGTGTGTCTGGTTTAATCGACAAATCATGCCTTCGGCATAACAATTAATAATTTTCTGTAAAGTTTTTTTGCGACAAAATTATTTCGTCATAATACGTTTTTGGCCTAATCAAACAATAGTAAAATAACAGAGAGAGTTTTAATCGGTGGTTTCAAGCGATTATTTTGTAACCTCTAAATATAAAAGCATTTTCACGTTTTTTACTCACATCCCAATTACACCTCTTAATTACAATCCGCAAACGAATAGCGTAATAGATAAGAGTCGCGACTAAAGTAAATTAGTGTTCACGGGTTCAAATCTCAACTATATAACACTTACCGATTGGACAAGTTGACTAAGGTGCGGCCAAACTCTTCCTATCTATTTTCTCTTTGCTGACTTCTTTCCGACCATGGCCGTGTCATGCCTGACAATATCAAAAGTATTATCTTGTTGTTGTGTTTATAAGGATCCTTGAGGGAAAGGAGAAAGATTGTATAAATAAATTTATATCGACCAAACTTATCTCGGTAAATTTATAGATGGAATCATTATATCATACTTGTTACCGTATAAACGCTTATGTTGGGCAAGACAATTTACAGGGGATGGATGGAGGGTTCAAAAAAAAAAAAAAAAACAATTCTCTTCGGCCCTTTTATGAAAATCCTTTGAACATTGTAGACATTGAAGACAAAAATATATAGCAACTTATCGGACAGGCATGGAGGCAAGATGGACCTATGTTACATAATCTTGCCATAGGTAATATAGATTATAAATAATAACTAATATACTAAGCTGTGAGGGAATATATGTGTAAATATTTTGTTCTGTTCACCGGTCAAGGTAGACATTTATCAAATAATCAATATAATATCAATAATATCAATATAATAATCAAAATAATAGAGAAGAGTTACAGATGCTAAAGAGTTATACGTTAAGAGAGTTAATACATTTAAGATTTTCTTGTTTGGTTAATAAAATCAATTAAATTTTTGACGAGAAATTCTCGAGAAGACAATTACAAAAATTGCCATAAAAAAATTCCTTCAAAAATGAAAGCGGAATCACAAAGTTTTTGTATCCACAAAATTTCACGAGCGAATTGCTTTTCCCCTTCCTTTTTTTTTTTTTTTTTTTTTTTTTTTTTTATTTCCTCATATATAATACATAGAGTTTCTTAAGTTACTCGGCAGATAGGATGTAAATTTCGAAGACGTCCTAATTGAATTCAATTTTTCAAATCAAATTGATTTGAAATCATTTATATCTCGTCAATTGATAGCCTATTTGGGTCTGAGTCAAGCTAAATAACCGGAATCGGGTAAATTTGCCATTTTTGTCTTGCTTAGTTTTCATAAATTCGAGAGATTTCATTTAAACCACGCCTCTAGCCTAGATGTCTACATATGTTTTTGCGAATTTTTTTTTAATAAATTCATTTCAAGTTCAATGTTATTTTTCATTCAAAAAAAACCAAAAAAAAGAATGCCAATAAGGGATAACGATAAGAGATAGCTAAGAGTTATTTGATGCTTTACAAATGTGAACGGTTCACCGCATCTTATTGCACGTTACGAACATGAAATTAATACTCTATGATGCATGTCTGTTGGGTAGGGAAAAAGAAGAAGGTCCAATATTGTGGCACAGTGAAATGTTTATAAGAAAAAGAGAGAGAGAGTGAGAAAAAAAAGACAAGTGAAAGTCATTGCCAACTGCAAATTACACAACAAGTCCAAGTTTACGTTGAAATGAGACAAAAATTCGCAAAAAAAAAAAAAATAAATAAATAAATAAAAAAAAATCTTATGTACACACGTATATATATATATATCTATATATAGATATATATATGCTGGTGAGGAGGATTAACTGTCAGATCAGTTTAAGTTATAATTAAAAATTCTCTTACAGGAGGGCAATTGCGAATCATTGCCCGATTATGTAGGCAGAAATAATGCGGCGGGCGAGGATTTAAATCGTGATTTTCCCGATCGCTTAGACAATGAGCATCACGCACAATTACGCACAGAAAAACGTCAACCCGAAACAGCAGCTGTAATAGACTTTACACTTAGTAAGCCGTTTATATTGTCGGCTAATTTCCATGGAGGTGCCGTCGTAGCCGGTTATCCATACGATAATTCCATGTAAGTTATAATAATTGCGAACGCAAAACCAATACATTGTGCGTTAAATTTGCTTTTATGCCAAAAATATTGATCAGAGCACATCATGAATGCTGTGAGGAAAGCGTAGCACCCGATGATGTTGTCTTTAAGCATTTGGCACATGCCTATGCTGACAATCATCCTTCTATGCGACTTGGTAACAGTTGTAATGAAACATTTCCCGGCGGCATTACCAATGGTGCTAAATGGTACGAGCTAGATGGCGGTATGCAAGATTTCAATTATGTCTTCGCGAATTGCTTTGAGTTAACGATTGAGTTAACCTGTTGCAAATATCCATTAGCGCAGACGTTGCCCGATGAATGGGCGAATAACAAACGCAGCCTGATAAATTTTCTAAAACAAGCCCATATTGGTATTAAAGGTTTAGTAAAAGATGTCAACGGTTATCCTATACACGATGCAAGAATTGTCGTTTCCGGCTTTGAAGGTAAAACAGTACGTACAACACAGCGTGGCGAATATTGGCGTTTACTTGTACCCGGCACTTATGACGTACTAGCGATGGCTTTCGGGTATGCTTAACATAACATATATATATATATATATATATATATATGTTTACATGTCTTCACAATTTTATAAGTGAGACATATATATATATATATATATATATATAATAATTAATATACATACATGTCCAGGAAGTTTGCCTTACAGGAAATTTCGCATAAGATAAATTTTCTTTGAAACGTTTTAAAAAACAAACAAAAAAAAAAGCTAAAATTACACAATACAAAAAGTGTATGCAAGCGTTAAAAGAAAATTTATATTTTACTTCCAAGTAATAGTAGTAGCGACGTTCGTTGATATTGTCACGGTTAGTGGATTATTTAACTGAACGATTTCATAATCGCTTTCAATGGCCTACTTACAACCAGTAGATGAAAAGATGTACAAGTTGTTACATTAAAATTGGGTTATCCACGTACAACATATGCAATATTGTCCGTAACTAGGAGGAGAAAAAAAAAAAAATAAATAAATAAATAAATAAAAGAATAAAACTCATTTTACCGACAGCACACAATCTGACATGTTGTAGCCGCTATTGTTTTATACACCCAATCCTGTTAGATCAAAACTTTGTAAAAGTCATATGTCAATTATCTCTTTATATATAATATAATAACGTTGAGATAGTGATTTAAAACAATGGCATAAAATCGTTTGCTCAAGATTTCATTTCATTTAAGATACCCTCGTAGGAGCAATGCAATCGATCAGATCAAATATATTTTAAGAATATTTCGATGGAAGCTTTACAGCTCAACAATTTATACGAAAATTCATTTTGATCATTTTCATCGATCAAAACTTGACTATGAATTAAAGATATATTACGATTGGCATTGTATAAGTATAGAGCATACTTTTTTTTTATATTCATTTTCAAAGATTTACTACATTGCATTAATAAGCATTGAAATAATATGCAAAAGTCTTAACCTGCATTCTTCAGCGCGCAATCCATATAAAAAAGAAAGTAAGGTGAAGCTAAAAAAATGAACTAACTATACATGAATTTCCAATCCAATCGTAGTTTTAGTTTAACATTCCCATACGGGATACGTTACCAAATAAAATCTTACTTAGGATCCGTATTGAAACAAATCCACATTACAAGAATGTCCCTCACAAGATTTAGAAAATTCATGTCCGATTATGACTACAACTAATCGAAACAAGTCCGTAAAAAAAATTACGAGTAATATGAGTGTCTGATAACTTATATAATAATTGTCAAAGAATTAAATAGTTTACCTTGAAAATGTTATTCAATTTAAAGGAGTATATCGATGCGAATGATTATGAAGCATGTATTGAAATGATCTTTTCATAGGATTTGAACTTTTCATATTGCAAAAAAAAAAAAAAAAAAAAAAATCAGGCGAAATCATCATTAAACGAAATGCCCTCCTAGAAATAAATAAAATAGTTTTACTAACGCGTAAGCGTATGCGTTAAACAAGTAAGAAAATTTTCATCAACTTTATCGCGAAGAAAATTTGGTAAAATTAAATTTCATTACTTCATAAAACTAGGATAATACTCTTAAGACGATTTTTGTCATTTCATAGCCTCATCCATAGAAATTTTAATCATCATGTCTGCTATAATTTACCAAAAACCCAATTATGTTCGCTATTTCCGTTCTAATGGGAATACATTCTTCCCGCGATTTGATATCAATCGATAGGCGATTATCTTAGTTAATATGTAAATGAAAAAATGTTTACCATAGATAGGTTAATAATTTGCAACTGATTAAGATTCATAATCCTGGCTTTTTGCAAACATTTTGACAAAAACCAAAAAAAAAGAAAAAAACAAAAAATGGTTACACACCTTCACCTCCGAGGTTTTTTTTTCGCGAAATCATTTGTACGAGCGAGATAGACTATATAAAATATTCAGCGATTCAGATAATTGAATGTACGTTGTATTGAGATGTAAAGAGCTCTGACACATGTCTACGCTTAAATAAATTTCCTGTACTGCAAGTTTGCAAAGCTGTCCTTAATAAAAACCTTTTCTTTTTTTTGTTTTTTTGTTTTTTTTTTTGTTTTTTATATTATTTACTTATTAATCTTGTCAAGACATATACGCATATATATATTTACTTTAATTTGTAGAGCCCTAAGTATATTTCTTTCTTATTTAAATATATTTTTATTTATTTATTTATTCATATATTTTTAGCTTTCAAAATAGTGAAGTGCAGAAAGTGGAAGTAACCAATGATAATGCTGCGGCGCAACGTTTGGACTTTACCTTATCGCCAATTAGCAACAACATTGATGGTATTAGCAGTTTTTATAGTCCTTATTTTTTTAGACATTAAATTGCTTTAAGAAGTAATTTATTTATATATATGTATATATATATATATATATACGAATATATACGAAAATATATATATATATATATATATCGAAAATCATAGAGAAGATTATGTAAATATATATGTATACATATAGCTCATATAAACATTTTTTCCTGTATGTATGTATACATGTATATGTTTGGTGAATTGTTTCATTTATATATAGCATATTATTATTTTTGTTACTAATTTTTTTTGTTTTATTTTTTTAACCAAAAGATCAAAAACCCCTAACGAACAAAATAAGCATTAAAAAGAAAAAAAAAAAAAAAAATCAAGCACGCACATGCACATCTATACACACACACACACACACACAATTCATTCATTGATTCATTCATTTTACTGTTAGAATGTTTTAACTTATAGATCGACACACAGCAGCTGCTAATGTTGTTGTTGTTGTTTTTGTTGCTACTGCTACTGCTGCTGCTCATTTAGATTGCTCGCTCATTTTGGATGATATAGCTGCATTTGTATAGCATATTGTTCTCATATCCAATTTTGATATGATTTTAAACAACACCACCACCACCACCACCACCACCACCACCACCACAATCACCATCCTTATCCTCATCACCATTACAATCACCACCACCTCACTCATTACCGCCAAAACACTAGTTTAACTTGTTTAACCCACTGTCACAGAGAAATACGTACACGTTTTTTTTTTTTGGTTTCTTGGTTTGACTGCTTTATTTATATACATTTGTAACTTTTTTAATCGTAACTAACATTATTGCAAATGTGTTTTTTTTATTATTATTATTATTATTATTATTTTTCATCTCAAATTCCACTTTTTATTCTCACTTTTATTTTTTAGATTTATCACATATGTATATATATATATATATATATATATATACATTTCTATTTCTATAACATGTTATATATATGTAAAAGAAAGACATAAAAGAAAAGAAAAGAAAAAAAAAAAAAGTTCTTTTTCCAAATTTTTTAAATTTATAAACCAATGCATGTAAAATCATGTATATTCATAATAGCTAACATACATACATGATACCATGCATCAATTGCATACATAAATATGAATGACTACTACCACTACTACAACTACTACTACTATTACTAGTACTATCACTACCACATAAACTGATTAAATGTGATAAGTAAATCTCATTAAAATAATATAATAATAAATTTTAAACTAAACTTAAAGACAAGGAAAAAAGGAAAAGAAAACGGAAATGAGAAGAGAAATATGAGAAGAAAGCAAGAGAGAAAGAAGAAAGGTTAAGAAAGGGTTATCATCCATCATATATCATCATCAGGTATTATTATTATTATTATTATTTTTTTTTTGTTGCTTTGTATTATTGTTGTTGTTATTATTGTTATTCTTTATTTTTTAAATAAATCTTCACGTTTATTAGCTCAGTTCTTCGAATTTATTTTTAATTTGCTTCTCTATAAAAGCGAGCAAGTTTTAAAAGTGATATTGAAAAGAAAAAAATTGATTTTTTTTTTATATATACATACATATATGTGTTTTTTTGTGTATAATTATTTGAGAAATTCATACTAATTACTCTTTAAAAAGTCTTGAGCCCTTTAATAGAGATAGCATATATCAGTATTGGATTGGCTTAATATTTACGTTCCAGCATATTACTTTGAATTATATAAGATATGGTCTGCAAATATTACATAATTTAAAATTGCTCTTATTATATCTATGAACCGGTTAGTGAGAGGTTTTTATACATTTGCGCGGTCAATTACTTTAAAACAATTAATTTAACTGGGTTAAGTAAAAATATGGATAAATCGAAAATGTTGCTGACAAAATTTCAAAAATTCATTCAACGCATATATGCAATTTTTTTTTTTTTTTTTTTTTTTTTTTTTTTTTTTTTTTTTTTTTTTTGAAAAAACCATTTATAGCAGACAACCTAACTATATTTGTTATAGAGCACATAATGGATACTCACCGCCTCACCAAATTCTCTTATCAATTTCAGAGGAGGGTTCACTCTCTCTCTAAATAGTTTTAAGAAATACTAGAAATATATTTAAAATCATATCTCTTAACATCTTACAAATTATCAAAAATGTATAGCTTTAAACGACTTCTTATTAATGTATGTACACTTCTGCTGGGAAAAGTACTGCGAAAGAAAAGAATTATTTTACCAATTAGCCGGCTATGTGCTGGCTTAAAAACACCGATTAGAAAGGAAGAAAGAAGTATTAGATATGTTCTGACAGTCGATAAGTAATATATTTCGATACGCCTGGCAATAATCATTCTCTGAGGTATAGAGCAACGCAAAATGTATTCGCACGTTTTAAGAACCCCCTGGATTTAATTCTTCACGGCAGACACTTGGAAACATATTCTTTTCTTTACTTTGTGGGCTAACGACGGACTTTCAATTCCCTGATCGGCTTATAAATGTTGGTAAAAAATCTTTATAAGGATTTCAGACTCGAACTGGTTAATTGCACATACACACATGCACTACAAGTGTTTTAATAGATGAAATTGTGAACAGAAATGGCAAAATTGCTCAAGATTGTCTATGTTGCATGAACTGCTTAGAACAGGTGTGTTAAAAGCGTAATGAGAAATTCTATATGCTCGCTCCCGTACTTCGATAGTAATAATATAAAACTTATTTTATTTTTGTAATTTTTTAAAATACAATTTCTCTTCCTGCTTCAATTTAGTTTAAACCTTGCATAGGCAGACTATTTCATTTATTTTGTCCTTCGCCTATTGCCTCCGCTATTATAGCTTTAGAACAACTTTCTATTCGAAGCCCATTTGATACGAATTATCGTTACGTAGAAGAATTTGAAAAATTAGAAAATTTAAGAAAATTTGAAAGTCGAATATCGGTCCTTCTAGACAAATGATATCAAAAATGCACTGAACTTTACATTTTAAGGTAACTATAAAAAACGTCTATTTTATCGGATTTTTGAAATAAAACGAAATGATATCCTCGGTGAGTATCCAATATTTATGCAACTTTTTTTTTGCGAGTTTGTGTCGTTTCTTTCAAGTTTTTAAAATCAAAAAGTAGAAGGTATCAAAAATACATAAAAATACCTTCGTTTTATGGTCAAGATGTAATGCTCCGGTCTCGTTGAATATTAAATGTTATACGTGAAAAATCTAAAAGATGAAAATATGGATGATGTCCCCTATCTACACTTAAAGACTCTAAGAAAAAGATATAAACGTTAATTGCCCCTCGCATCGCCCTGAAGTTATTCGTATAATTACTTTTTACTATATAAATTCGTATAATTACTTTTTACTATCAGTTTCCGTAGTAGCGATTGTATGGTAAGCAGTTCAAAAAATTACCCCATCTTGTGCCAAAGTTTTCATATCAATTTAGAATGGCGCTTCGCTATTACTAAGCGATTTTTTTTCGCGAAATTCTATAAATTATAATATTTTTTCATATAATCCATTGTCAAAATAAGAGGAAATGATCGGAACGGAACCATTTTCAATAGCGCTCGTCATTGGGCCAAGACAACTTGGTGTACTTAATTTGATTAATATATCTTAAAAATGAGGGCCTTTAAGTTGAACATAAAAATCGGACAGACGGACAGACAAGCGTAGATTAGTATAATAAAAGATGTGTCAATTTCAAGTCTTTAAATACATTTCGCTCACCGCTTAATATGCCAAGGGGTGTATGCGATGATGATTGTTGTAGGCCCTTACCAAATATTTTTTCTTTTTGGTTTTTTTTTTTTTTTAATAGCTTAACCACATTAAACAGTTACGGTTTACAACAAATCCATATCTAATATTTGCACGAATTGCTTATCAGTCCAATAAGACAGAGCTTGAATCAATAATCAATCAATCTAGTTTAAAATTGCCATTCCAACAGAAATGTTTCTTTCTTTCTTCTTCTTCTGAAAGTCAACAAATGATTCATTATGTTGAATATCAAATCTATGAAATTCGATTTTATATATAAAGATATTTGTAAATTTCTCAAATTAAAACTTTAGATAGACCATTGGATACATTTTTCTCATTTTACATTATCATCGTCTTACGGTTTATCAGATTGAATATCGATCAGGAGATGCGAAGTAGAAAACCCTTTAGATATCTTTACGACGAATCGATATTATGCAGTTATATGAAGACAGCATTTTTAATCCTGTACGTGTTTTGTTTTGTATACCTTCACAATGCTGCGAAAATGCTGGACACTAATAATAATAATAAAAATAGTAAAAAATTATTGATCAGATGAAATTATGAAATTAATTTTTTTTTTTTTTTTCAATTATTCGAATACTTTAAAACATTCCAGACTTAGTCGATATATGTAAGGCTTCTGTACAATTCAACTTTTAAAGCAAAGTTACAAAGGGATTAAAGCGAAGCAATACATTGCCTGCTTGACTTGATTTTATTCCTAACTTTTCTTGCATTCAAAACAAATAAGTTCCCATAATCCGCCTGAGTAGCCGAAGGGGAGGAATCTCGACTAGCAAGTCAATGGTCGTGGGTTCGATTCTCAAGTGCAGTAGAGTTTTTAATAAAAAAAAAAAAAAAAAAAAAAAAGCCGATAGCCTTAGATGCTAGTGCTTTTAAGAGTTTAGTCTTAGAATTTATTTCTCTGGCGAAATTAATAATAACAATAATAATAATAATAAGTTCTCATAAATCAATGAACTGATCTGACGATCGTCAGAAATATCTTTCGATAATGAACTCCCAAGGAAATAATTTAAACTTTTTCAATGACTTATATTTAGGTATAAAAAAAAAAAAATTAATTAATAAAAATATATTCTATGCAGTGATAACGTAACGATTTATTTCTTAATGTAATCGATGCAATTCTCATCGAACTTATCAAATCGTTCGACTCGGTTAATTAACTAACCAACTATATATATCTCGATGATGAAAAGTCGAAGAAGAATTTAATAAAGTGTTTCGTTGTGTTCGCTTCAAAATTGATTGGACAACAAAAGCTGATTGCCTAAGTTCTAAGCATAAATCCTCCCCCCAAATACAGGCTTGACATGCAACACTCTTAGGCTATAAGATGCTAAATATTAAAAATTCATTCTAAAACAAGTTTAATACGTATCTAATGGGCATGGTTTTTCCAATTGATGGCCTTTCGAATCTTATCAAAATATTAGCTTAAATACTCAAAATCATTTACGTATTATTACAATTATTATTGTTATTATAATTAATTCCATCAGAGAAATAAATTCCTAGACTAAAGTCTTAAAGTACTGGACCATCTAAGGCTATCTATCGACTTTATTGAAAATGTTAACGCATTTGAGATTTGAGTTACGCAGTCTAGATCCTTTCCCTATTCGGTCAATCAGGCGGATAAGCCTAATCTTATATATGCTCGTTCATATATACGGATGAATATTCGAAAATAGGAAAGAATCGAAATGTTTTCAAGAGACAAGATAACAATTGGCTGGAATTGTTTTTAAATGATTGCTCTGTTAACATAGCTCGCTGCTTACATGGCTATGCAAGGGATGACTTAAATTGTCTGTTAGCCTGTGATGGTGATTATATTCTACTCTATTCTATTGACTGTCATCCTTATTTATTTATTTATTTATTTTTTTTCTTTTTTGATTTTCCCTAAATTAAATAATAATTTATTATTTTGCTTGTAATCCTTTTTCCAAAAAAAAAAAAAAAAAAAAAAAAAAAACCAGCTTCAAATATTTTCCTAGCTTCTGTTTCATTTTTACATGCAAAACAAATCAATTTAAACAAATGAAAGAACGTGATCATATTAATTATAATTATAACTGATATTTTATTATAAATATATTTTAAAATTGATATAAAATTAATTAAAAGCATAATTGTATTAACTTTAGCTATCAAATTATTACATGTTATTTAATAAAGTATATATAGAAAATGATTAAAAAGGAAAATTACTAGAAGAAGAATAAATAAAAAAACAACAAAAAAAGAAAAAAAAATCGAAACAAACCAAGAACAACAAACTGCTAATAAATAAATTTTATTTAGCAATTGTAAAGAAAGAATAAAAAATTTCGTATTTTTATTTTTTAGATTTAATCATGATCATCATATTTTCCTTAGTTTTTTGTTTTTTTTTTTTTTTTTTATTTTGTAATATTTTTTAGATTTTTTTTTTTTTTTTTTTTTTTTGTACATATTAAATTTGTGGGATTTTGGTAAAACATTGACAATTTTTTTTAGTTTTGGAATTGCTCTGTTGTCTATCTGTCTATTGGGTTTTTGGTTTCAATTATTATTATTTTGGGTGTATGATTGTTTATGGATTTATATAATATGAGATACTTTTGTCATTTTTCATTTATTTGATTTGCTTTATACTTCTCTCTATGAAAATATTATTTCATTTTTTTCTCACACAATTCATTCACTAGAGGTGTTTTTGTTATTTTTCGTTCATAATTTTAGGTAATTTCCATAAAATAATAGTAGAACGGGCCGATAAAGCTGAGGATGTTGAGAAAAATGGTGGCTTTTTAACTTTGACAGAATTTGTACATCACAACTATGCGGCCATGGAAAAGTTTGTATATAACCTATGTCATATATATGATGATGTTATTATTTCCCAAATATATATTCTCATTTATCGTGTAAAGGAGAGAGAGTTTTCAAATTTCCCTTATTACCTCGTAAAGCCTTTCAAGTCAATCCATCTGCACTGAGGTTCTTTTTATTTTTTTTTCTTTCATCAGAGCTTCATCGTGCAAATGTTTGTTTTTAATAATCAAATTGTTTGCTGGTATGAAATTCTTTCAAAACTGTGAACCAGTACTGCATAACCGCGAACGTCACAGTCATTAACCGTCAACGTAGGCCTAAGCTTTAAGAATATTTTTGCGATGGAAGGCATCATTTTCTTTGACATAGCTTAAGACCAATGCATTACAGTTCAGCTATGCGTGGTATTCATTTAGTTTATAGTTGAGCTGAGAACGTCACATATATATGTATATATATATATGGCAAGCCTTGTCACCTATGATAGTGCAGATAAAAAGTTTTAATATATATACTTTTTCCTCGTTTTGCGGCGTGGAATAAATGCGAACGAAAAGTCGCATTTCGAAACCACTTAATTCTCGTTGATCGTTAATGAACGGAACATCATTTCTTGGGAAGGTTTAGAATGTGATTCTCACTGCTGTGTGTGTGTGAGATTGACAGCTCTTTTCGCTCATATTGAAGAAAATTGACTTTTCAAAGAAATGCCGACTTATCAGTCATTCCTGCCACTCCAATCGTGTCTTCTATATATACATATATATCCTCGTATCCTCTATGTATATAAGTAAGCGGATAGTGAGGCATAATTATAGGCAGAGCAAGCGGCGAAAGTGATGGTAGTCAGATATAAGCGGGATTGAAGTACGAACAGTCTCTGCAGTCAATTTCCTATGGTACACTGGTTAAAGCGAGACAAATGGATAATAGTTACGAGTAGATTCCATTAAGGGGCTTGTGTTTTCGAATACATTTTTTTTGGTGTTTTTGCATAACCCTTAAGTTAAAGTACTTTCACATATAATTGCGGCACAGGTCATATGATATATGTCGTGCTTAGGTATAACGAGAATGCACTGAGCACATTTTCGCTATACGCAATCCATACATAGCAAATGCACACGATGCGAATGGTGCATATAACGAATTGCTCGAAAAACTCAAATTTCAATTTAGCATAAGAATCCTTTTTGATTCGTTTAATCTCGATCTCTAAAAAGCTACCCATTAAGATGTGGCTCTACTTATCTAAACTAACATACTATAGTTCCAAATAAAAGCATAGCAATGCGTGAGAATGCATCCACTGATGCATAGACTAGTTTTCCATATTGTTCGAGTAACGGTTCTTGCAAAATCGTTCGAATTTTCAAAAAGAAATGCATCAAATTTCTTTAATTCAATCATAGTGGTATGTGGTTCTGAAAAGTAATTAAAGGGCGCCTAATATGTAAAAACAAAAAAAAAAAAAAGTACTATTTATACAAGTGAGAAAAACTTATAGGGTAGACTCTTTACTCTAACCATATTTGAAATTTTTAATTAGTTTTTTTATTTGTCTCTTTATTACATTGACAGGTTCCTGCATGATATAGCTGATAATTATCCGTCCATTACAAGACTGTATTCCATAGGAAAGAGTGTACAAAATCGCGATCTTTTAGTGATGGAATTGTTTGCCAAGCCTGGCGAACATTTGCCAAATGTACCCGAATTCAAATATGTGGCCAACATGCATGGCAACGAGGTGGTAGGGAAAGAAATGCTACTACTGCTCACTAAATATATATGCGAACGTTATATGTACGATGATCGTATAACAAAATTAGTAAATAATACACGGATGCATTTTCTGTATTCTATGAATCCAGACGGTTATGAGATAGCGCGAGAAGATGATAATACAAACGCGATAGGACGTGAAAATGCTAATAATGTTGATTTAAATCGTAACTTTCCCGATCAATATGGTACAGATAGGAATAATCGCGTTACCGAACCGGAAGTCAAGGCTGTTATGAACTGGACTTTGTCGATACCGTTTGTATTATCAGCAAACTTACACGGCGGTTCCTTGGTTGCCAACTATCCTTTCGATGATAATGCCAACGATTTTAATGATCCCTTTGCAAGGCTGAGAGATGCGAAAGTAAGCCGCAAACTAAATCCCACCGATGATCATGAGTTATTCAAACATTTGGCGAAAGTTTATTCAAAGGCACATCCAACTATGCATTTTGGTAGCCCATGTCCAAAATTTAAACAAGAAATATTCCCAGATGGTATTGTAAATGGAGCACAATGGTATAGTGTAACCGGTGGCATGCAAGATTGGAACTATGTGCGGGCTGGCGTTATGGAAATCACATTAGAATTAGGCTGCGTTAAATATCCAAAAGCTTCGGAATTATTAAAATACTGGAAAGATAATCGGGAATCATTGCTGCTATTTATCGAACAAGTACATAATGGTATACATGGATTTGTACGCAGTTCGATAGGTAATCCAGTTCCGCAGGCGGCCATTACAGTCGATGGCAGCCGGCATACCGTTTACAGTGATACCTACGGTGATTATTGGCGCCTAGCTTTACCCGGACGTCACAATTTAACTGTCCTAGCCGATGGGTATTTTGCATTTACATAAAATCAAAAAGAAATTGTTTTTCTAAAAATTTTTCCAACAGCTTTTCTCCCGAACGCGAAGCCATCGAAATTTCTGCCGAAAAACGTTCTCTTCGTTTGGATATCACATTAATGCGCGATGATGACCAACATTGGGCTTCGGCTAATGATTATCGCATCATTGAGAATGTCGTTCATACGCGTTATCATACCAATCCGCAGATACGAGAGCGTTTAGCTGAATTTGAGACGCACAACGACAATGGACAAATTGCGACTTTCGGTTATGCGGAAAATGAGTTCGGTTTATATTATAACTCCATTAAACTTACCTCAGATGTAAGTCGTTAGATAGCGTTAATGCTAATTGGAAGAGACTTTTACAAGATTTTTCAAATTTTACAGATTGGAGCGCCCGAAGAGAATAAATTTAAAATTTTGATTTTAAGCTCTTTCTTTGATACCACTTCGCCTTTGGGCCGTGAAATATCGCTTAACTTAGTACGTCATATTATTGAGGGCTATAAGCTGAAAGAGCCTCGCATTTTAAAATTCCTACAAAATGCTGTATTATATGTTGTTCCGGCAATTGAAAATTTCGAAACTGTTTTCAAACTATATAACGGCAAGTAAGTAAATATAAATAAGGGCAAAAACCGCGATCAAATCTTCTATATCCATCACCGTCATATCCTATCTATATTTACTTTCCAAATCCTTTTATCTGATTCCCGCATCGACGAAATTGTGGAGAAAAGATTAGTCCACGTCTCTTTCGCGATATGTTATAGATGCTTGCATGTATTTTGATCGGCAAGATCTATTCATAAAAATGATTAGGCAATGCGATACCAGTATCGATAAGTTTGCGCGAAATAACAATTTTCCATTTAGTATTATTGAGTTGTCCAGCGCATGCAGCCGGTAATCATGGAAAGATTAAAATTGCATTATTAATATACATTACTATTGTTGTTGTTGTTGTTGTTGTTTGATTTGAAGAAATCTGCTGCCAAAGCCGATCAAGCTTATTCATCATATCCCAATGGTCGGCTTGGATTTCAAAGATTTAATAGCGATTATTTTAATGTCAATAATAAAAAAAATGGCCTTGAAAATCAAAAAAATTGAAAGACAATAAATTGCAAGAGTTGTAGGATGAAAAACTAAACTCGCAAAGAACTTGCGAACGACTTAACAGATGATGAATCAACTAATTGTTTCTAGACGTTTACATGCGATGAGAAATATGCGAAAGGAGGGAAAACCGTTTCAACATCGCGGATTTGCATTGCTCGCCAGGCAAAAACGAAAGAGTTTTCTGTCGCGCATTGTGATTAGCGATGAAAAGTAAATTCACTTAACATCGGCACCGAAGCAAAATATGGCCATGACCATCAACTTTTGCCGCGCATATGATGCGATCGATCAGCAAAAGTGAAAACTGAAACATTACCCTAATAAGGTTTATTTTCTCATTACATTCATTTTCAGCAAATCAATTTGTGATCCCGTAATAAGAGATGAACTTGGTGAACGTTTGCTAAGTCCAGAGTCGGAAAAGCGAAGAGATTTATTGCTACAATTTTTAGATAATGAAAGATTTGATTTAATGCTAACTTTCATTGCTGGTCACTCGGAGTTAATGTAAGACTTGAAAGCCTTAATTGTATTTCGCTAAAAATTATTTCACTTAAATTTACAGTTATCCTAAGGATGAACAAATATTTGAACGTTTTGCTCATTATATTGAAAATGTTGAGTTCAGTTTTTCACCGCTACAATGCTCGGCATCCTCAACGCGGACCGTTCATCGTGATACTACAGAACGTTTAACTAATTTGCTTTATAAAACATATAACATTCCGATGTTCTCGCTGGGTCTGTCCTGTTGTCGAATGCCACCACAAACGCAAATAGCTTCTATTTGGCGTAAAAATATCGATAAGTTAAAACACTTTCTACATCTTATCGAAACGGGAGCGAAAGGCTACGTACAAGATGAGAAAGGTTCACCTTTGCGCGAAGCATTTATACGTTTAATTGATCATAAGCCCGTTTATAACGTTACCAAGAATTTAGCACGTTTCCAATTAATGCTACCGGTCGGTTTATATGCATTAGAAATTAGTGCTCCAAAATACCAATCTTATGTCGCAAAAGTGGAAGTGATACAAGGTAAAATAACGGACTTGGGTGTGATAAAATTAAGTGCGTACACTTTGATAACCGGTCACAGTGAAATAGTGCCATTGGGAAGGATCAGACATCAAGCTACAGTTTTAAGTGGCTTCGTATTGGATTTATCCAATCATCCCGTGCCACATGCCAAGGTCTCGATAATAGCGCCAATTACCAAACACTATTTACGCAATTTCACCGACAGCATTGGAGCCTACACAATTAATAATATTCCAAATGGCGATATTACTCTTAAAGTTGAAGCTCCTCGCTATTTGGAAGCAACACGACTGGTTCATGTTACCGACGATGGCATGCCTATTAAAGGCGTAGTCTTCCGTTTGAAACGTAACGAACATGTAATGGGTATGCCGCGTTTCATTTTCATAGTATTCGCCAGCATAGCCATTATTATTGTTGTAGTCATGTGCATTTTATGCGCACAATTCTTTTTGGCTCGACGTCACCGCACCGATAAGCCATATTATAATTTCTCGCTGTTGCCCCAGAAAGGCAAAGAACTATTTGAAGACGACGATTTGGGCGATGACGGCGAAACGGAGCTCTTTAGGTCACCTATTAAAAGTAAGTGATAATTGCCGCTCAATACACATTTTCACTTAGCATGTAACAGACTTTTTTATTTATTCTTAGTTAAGAAACAAAAAAAAATATTTTGCGATATATCAACGCATGTCATAACAATCGCATCGTTACTTTAACATTCAATGCTTTCCTCTACTTTCACATTGCGCCGAATTTTTATGTGGAAATTTTTCGTTTTCACTTTAACCTAAACCGTTAAATTTAAATCACATTAAAGCATTTTGTTTAGCGTAACTTAAATATTTGTTACGTTTGTACATACATGTGCCTTTCAAAAGTTTGAAACGACTTCTTAGTCACACCTAATTGAAATCATATGAAAGCGAGTCAATTTTAATGGAATCTTGTTCTGAAAAAAAAAAAAAAAAAAAAAAAAAAAGGAAAAATAGGAGAAAAATGTGAAAATCTGTACGTTACTAAGCATGCAAGACGTATTCTTGAATATTGCAAAGGAAATCAATTCAAATTCATATCCGTTATTATCCATAATGAAACCCTCTCATAATAAGCTTAAGAATATGAAAGCTATCGATTTATTTATGTAATTAAGTTCCCTTTCGTTTTCTTCTTCTTATTATTCTCGTAGAAGGAATGATTATAAAACCATATTTCGATGATGACGATGATGACTTAAAACACATTATGCATTCGGATAATGACGGAGACGACAGTGATGATTATAGTGATGTTGCCGATAAGCATGCGATAATGGATAGCCAAATTAAAGCCAAGCATGTTTACAATGACGATAGTGGCGAAGAAGTTATCATGTTACATAAACAACAAAACCACTGACTACTGTGATCTATTTGAGAAAGAAATCTATATATACATTTATTTATATAAATATATGCGTAGATTGTATATGCAAATATTGGTTAATATTTTTTTATTAACAAAAGAAGAAAGGTTAAGAAGACAAAAAAAAAAAAAAAAAAAATTTTTTTTTTTTTCTTTCATTCAAAATTATACAAAGGCAGGTATTTATAGAAATATATTTATACATAAAATCTATTATATACTAAAGTTATTTATATGAATATTTGAAACACAACGGCAATATTAATTCGTAGTAACGTGACTACAGAGATCCGTACGGCGCAATAAATATCGCAAATTGTAATAAATTAATTTATATAAATATTTATTTTAAAAATAAAATATAAAAAAAAAAAATAAATAAATAAATAAATAAAATTCAAATTCGACCAGTGATCTAAATAGAAAACTAAATTTTTTTAGTTCAAATTGTATTTTTAAATATATAAATTTTATATAAGAAATGAAAAAAAATTGCTCAATTTTTGTAAAAAACTCTTTTAAAAATTCAAAACCTATTGAAATTAAAGCAATACATACGTAATAATAGTTTTTAATTATTTATCAAATGTTTATAAAATTTCTTAAATGTATATCATATTTATTTTGTTTATTTCAAGTAAATTTTTTATTAAAACTTGCTTAGTCCACTCAAACTCAATATCAACAAAAAAAAAAAAAAAAAAAAAATAAGAAAAATAATAATAATAACATTAAATCTTTTCTATTAAAGCAAATTTTTTACACCAAAAAATATAATACATTTTATTTTATATCACACACACAAATTTAAAGAATAAATTTATACACAATAAAATAGAGAAAACAACAATGATATTAATATGAAGATTACAATTTCTTTCCTAATTAAACTGAAAATATTATTTCAAATGGATTTCGAACATGTTTTAACTATGACATTTTTTTTTATCGATTACCCTTCGAATGGTAAGGGTTTACAAATTTTATTATAATCAAATGTACATATCGAAGGTTCATAAAATGTTTAGGGTTTTTACGCATCGCAAAAATTTTATATCAGTTGAAGATAACGCGTCCATATTACAGCAACAAAAAATAAACATATCATATTAAAACTTACAGCTTAATTGAATTCCACAAACTAAATAAGAAAATGAATAAAAATTTGAATATATTTTTTATTAGTAAACTATGCATAATATATTTTCATAATTGATGGCATGAATGAACTTGACTTTTACAATCTTTATTTATCTTTATTCCAAATTTTTCAAAAAAAAAAAAAAAAAATTATTTCTTTTAAAAAAAAAGATTTTTACCCAACAGCGATAAGGAAAACTGTTCCTTATGGGATCTATCAATATTTTAACCGCGGTCCAAAACAAGCGAATACATTGATTGCAACGTATTATGAGAAAACCAAATTAATCATTCGACATCAGTGTTTTAAATTGCATTCTAAGATTACTACACTTGACTGTACATAACAACAAAACAAAAAAAAAATAAATAAATAAATAAATAACAAAAAGAAAAAGCAAAAGCTAACTATAATATAAGAACAACTCTGAGCAAATGTGTATTTCGAGAGCTATATAAATGAAGCATTAAAATTGAATTTCAATTTCAACTGAGTACGTTACAAAAGAGAACATTTTTACAGCGCCAAATTGCCGTTATATCGCTTTTCATTAGAACGCTCTATACGCAATGACTAGTAAGATGTCAAAGCCTTGCTGGATAAAGCATAAAGCCTGCAAAATTAATACATAGACGTAAAAAGGAATCGCGCTTTCATCTCGTTTGTGAAGTCTCTTAAAGTTCTTTACGCTGGCAATACTGTCGGGAGAATGAGCTCTCTCTCTCCCTCTCTCTCGCTCTTTCGCTTTCGCTGGCCTAAAGAAAAAGTGCAATTTAATGTAAATCGAACTTTTACTTAAACAAATTACTTTCGGTCCAATAAGTGTAATAATACGCCTATATTTTTAGTTAACGCCTACTTATAATAAAAAAATCAAGAAAAAAAACAAAAAAAAGAATCAATATTCTTCTGAATGCTATTCGATGGTAATATTAGTGCGTTTAAGTGCCGATTGTATTTAAAGTTTATAAGCTTTAATAAGACCCGATGATGGCTGGCGCTGGTCATTTCAAGTGCATCCACATTTTTTCTTTTATTTTGTATTGTTTTTTTCTTTTTTTTTTTCACTTTATTGTATAATTGCAATTGTCTCAACTATGGGCAATTCCATTCTGACGCCTATAGCCTTTACGCTATGCAGTTGTGGCGAGAGTAGGAAATAAAACCATATTTTTTTCTACGCATAATACATTTGTAAACAAAAACAAATACCGCAAAATGTTAATGTTTACGTTCTTTGTAAGAGGTTATCAAGATTATTTGAACTGTAACGGAACAAGAAATCTATGTAAAAATGTAAAAACCCTTACAAATTAAATAATTTCAATGTAACACTTTTAGTTCAAGAATTATAATCAAAAGTGGAAGTGTTACTTACTTACTTGTATAAAAATAAAAGGAAACGAAAAAAAAAAAAAAAAAGAAAACAAGCGATCATAATAATAACAACAAAGACAATGTTTAAAAATTCCGCGAACACCGTTATACGTAATTATGCAAAAACATCGATTAAAGTATCCAAAAAGTTAGGTATTTTGGGTGTACCTTTTTCTAAGGGCCAAGGTAAAACAGGTGTGGATTTAGCACCAGATTTTTTAAGGGAAAACGGTTTATTAACAATGCTAAATAAATGTAAGAAATTAATAATAAAAAATAAAAGTTTTTTTTTAAATTTAAAAATATATATATATATATATATATATATTTTTTTTTACCGTTAAGGCAATGTAAGCATTTCCGACTATGGTAATCTGAAACTTGAGACTCACGTAACAAGCGAAGATAATTCCCCATATAAGAGAATCAAGAATTATGCGGAATTTATGGCATGCAATAAAGCTTTAATACCGCGCATATCTGAGGTTTTAAATGAAAACGATATGTTTTTAATATTAGGTGGTGACCATTCAATTGGGTTTGGTAGGTGTATTCAAACCTATTAAATAATATGTGTTTGGCAAATTTTTTTTTTTTTTTTTTTTTTTAAATCTAAGGTTCCGTTGCGGGACATTTATTGCATACACCGAATCTTTCGTTGGTGTGGGTCGATGCTCATGCCGATTTAAATTTACACTCTACCAGTTATTCAGGCAATATTCATGGCATGCCGGTATCTTTATTGTTGAAAGAATTACGCAAATACTGGTTACAAGCTGATTTATATCAATTTGCTCCCAAGTGGTAAGTGATGAAAAAATTTTTTATTATTTAATTTGTTTTATTTTATACTTTCAAAGTTATGATAAATTCATTGATTTGAGTCTCATTGCCTAAAACTAAAACGTAACTATATAGCGAAAGCAAAAAGGTGAGTTGGGAGGGAGGGGGGGGGGGGGACTTATATGCTATTGATACAATAATAATAATTGCAGAAAACTTTGGGACTAAGGCTAGCTTAAAATATAATTTATATCTTCAAAATATCAGAAGTCATTGATAAAAATAGTTTTACTGCTAATTAACCTAACCTAAATTTGCGGTGTAGCGCATATTAAGTTTGTGCGTACGTACCTAACACGCAGAAGGACTTAATATAGTCCCGCTTTTTATTATAGCAATCGATTCAGAAACATTTTCTGAATAAAAAAATTCATTAGGCTGGGGCAATTTTTTTAACCCCCTAAGATATAACGAAAACTAAAGTTCGTATGAGAAAAAGATCTAATTTTCAATGTTTCATGACGGAAAGCAAATTATAATAGTAAATTAAGATAAAAAAATGTACTGTACCAAATTTAGACCACCTACGTCTATTTTTGGACCCGTCTCCACATAAGAATTTTTCCGAAAATCTTTGTTTTTCACGGCAAAAATGTTCAAGTTTTAATATGTTACGATAAAAGCTGATCCATTAAAGTAATTTGATATGAAAATTAACTGTACAAAATTTGGACGACGTATGCCTATTTTTGGATGGTGCTCTACATAATGATTTTTTGTTTGTTGGAACCACAACTTTTGGACATCTTCGGCCCTATTCTTCTTACGGAACGTAAATCTTTATTTGCAAATATGTCTTATTTTTAATATACAGTTCCATAATAGTAAGTTCATATAAAAGCATGGTATATGAACTTACTTAGTTTATATAAAACCATGGTATATGAACTTACATGGTTTTTGTTTTCTATTACAAAAATAAGTATGTGTTGTTGGATATTGTGTGTGTTATTGGTAGTGTGATATGAATGTGTTGTAGGATATTTAAAAGTCTTTTTAGTCCGACTATAATGTTCTCGGTTGTTTTTGCTTTAGCAGAGTTGCAAATTCATTTTTGGCCAGTTTCTAAGACTGTCTATATTGGTACAAGGGTATATTAAGTTTGTATGGATATTTGTAACACACAGAGGGACTTAATAAAAGCCCAACTTTTATCACACTGATCGACTCTTAAGTTACCTTTTGAATTGGCCTAAGCTTGTCCGTTTGTCCGTTTGCTCAACTTCTTTTCCTGTTTTCAACCTACAGACCGCTACTTCTAAAATAATTTGATGCAATTTCGTGCACTGACCCAAAGACGAATGCTATTGGAAATCTTTCCGATCAGACCACTTTCCATATAATAGTTTATTTTGAAAAGCCGTTAAATGAATAATTGTGGGGTAAGGTAAGGTATTTGATAGCGAGCCACTATAGCATTTTTACTTGTTTTCTACTAATATTTTATGTTATGGATATAAACAACAATGTAAATATAAATTGTTTAGTTTGAATACAATTAATTTAATACTTTTGTATAAAAATATTATCGACATTTTATGAAAAGAATTAAAAATTCACATAAGGCGAATGGGGTAAAATGAATCGAGGTTTTGGGCCTTAAGTCAACTATGTAAATTTAAATATAATTATTTTCTTACACATAATTGAGTCACATCGCAACAATAATTACTGATAAATACAAGTATGAAGGCGGGTAGAATAGGTTAGTAAATTGCTCTATAATTAAGGAACAACGAATGAAGAAAATTAGTAGAAAGTTGATAATGGTTCAGGTAATATTGCGAATGTACGCAAGAACACGTAGCGCATATGGTTTCCGCTAACTGAAATCCTACCTGTGCGTCATCAGGGACTTGATTTGGATTATATTCTATTAATCTCTTTGCTATCTTTCGAAAATAAACCGTGTCAACGTTAGCCCTATCTTCACCAGGGAAACGATGATTTTTATTATACGGGTCTTCTTCTAACAAATGATATTATCCACTCCTCGTCTTCATTAGGAGAGATAAGCTTCAATATTGTTCTCTATTTTCATATAACTAACTAACTATGAAGACGTAACTATAGAGTCGTTTCCAAAAATATCAATGAAATATCTATATTTAACTCAATATTTTATATCTTTAATTAACATCAAATCAATCTCTTTCACAAGGACGCCTTGCATGTCTCATATCCAAATTAACTTATTATCTTTAATGCTAATTAAACTTAACATGTTCACTACTATTGTCTGCCAACATTTTTCTTTTCCATAGCTCGGATCTAGCATCAGTCATGAATGTGCCTCTTTCTTTACCTTTCGTATATCATATTTATTTATTTATTTATTTTATTGACATTGCACAAAAATTAATTTTTACATGGTTTATAATTAACGTTAAATTACCTCAAAGACGACATTGCCGTCCACTGTTCTTACCTAATAGATATGTCTGGGCAAGGTGGGTATGTCCTAATCGGAATCTTATGAAATGCTTCAAACTTATAGTATACTCAATTTGTTTTTTTTTCTTTTGCTTGCAAAAAATTCGTGTAAAAAAGACCGTGTAAAAAGAGTTGTGTGTATTTACGACTTTTGGGAAACTTGTTTTACTTTCCAAAGGAATAATTTTTTTATAATGTTGCCTGTATGAACAGATATCTCGCCTCTTCATAACCGCAAAAGGCTTTTTTATGAAGAATCTTTATTATTATGGAAAATTTGCAATTGTATTGAAATACGATATAATTCGTATTAGAGCGAGTCGGAAGTAGCTTCCGATGCAATTAGGTAAAATCTATTGCTTGTATTTACCCACTATATATAAATCGCCGAAACAAACGATTCTTGTTTTCGCTATATAGATGAGGATTCAGTCAGTCTTTTGTCAACTGTTTTATGTTCAACTGTTTTACTTAACCTTAGCGCTAAGGCGACAATTGAAAAAATATGCATCGTATATGGTGAAGGCCTGAAAACCCAATCGGGGAATTAGTAATTGGCTTATAAAATTCCTTTCGAGAGATACGACTTTAAAAGACGGGACGTTCTTCCGACTTTGACAACAAACTTTTAAAGGCAAAGTCCAAGAGGTATAGGATGAAGGTTTTATATCTCCCAACGAACTGTTAAATTAATAAAATTTTGTTATTCAATAAAAACAGAATAAATGTCTGCTAATACAAATAAATAAATTAAATTCGGTCAGGACCGAATCTTTTATACCCATCACCATTTACCTTACACAACAAAATTCTCATGCTCTATAATGTAGAGCAGAAGCAGTTGAGTTCTTCTATTTTCAAAATGAAATTTTTTGTCGTAGAGGCGAATGGACGTTTGTGGACGGGGAAATGGGTAGGCGGACGTGCATAAATCGATTTAGGATTTAATGATGATCAGGAATATATATATATATACTCTGTGGGGTCTGGGCGTTGCAAACGTTCTGACAAAAATGAATATACCCCTCATCTTTAGGTGATGGGTATAAAAATTGATTGTTTCCAATATCTTCGGTTTTGATAAGATGGTATTGCGTGTTCTGCAACCTAAGAGAAAATAATTTCTTAAAAATTGAAATTTAGAAAGAAGATGCCCTTAGGGAAAAGTCCTAAGCTTATCTTGGATTCGAAGACAAATTTAGTAAAGAAAAGCACTTACCAGTTACCACAACAGCATTAATAAAAAAAATGTTAAAACAAATTATATTTATTAATAAAAATTTATTCAGAAAATAATATTCTCATCATTCGTTTATGATGGCAACCTAACCTATATAATTAATAGAAAATGCAAAGATTTACCGCGTCCATAGCTAACAAACACTTGAAGCTTACTGCTTTCCAGCTTAGAGAGAGAGAGTTTATAGCTTCCGGCTGAAGTTTCGTATATCTTGTGTTGCTGAAATGTTAAATAGAATTATTTTATTTTTAATATCTAGAGGTCAAGAGTTTTGTAAGTTTTTGTAGATTTACTAAATCGCTTACTTACATGGAAACAGTCTATTAAGTCTAGTTTGATATTACCGGCATGTTATAGTCTCCATTGGGGATTTCGATATAATGCATGTTATGTTTGCAACTGTATGATGCTGAAAGAATTACGCAAATTCTGATCGCTAGCCAGAGTTTACATCGCGTTGCATTCAAAAGGCAAGTAAGGAGCCAAAGGAATTTTCATAGTGCATATGCTTAGAAAAATTTCTCATAAAAATTTGTTTTTTTTTTATTTTTTTTTTTTTTGTTTTTTTTTTTTTTTAATAAAATTTTCATAATTCTATGTATAAAAGTGTAAAGATATATCTAAATTATTTTAATTAATTAAAATATCACAATTACAATAATAATCAATTGCTTTATACCTGAGGTAGATGAATATATTTTATCAGTCGTCTATATAATTATCACTTAAATTATTTTAGATATATATATATATATATATATATATATACATATATGTATAGATATATATAGATATATAGATATATATAGATATATATATATACATGTATTTAAATTAAATTAATCAAAAATTAAAATAACTTAAATTAAATTAAAAAATTTTAAAAATTAAAAAAAAAAAATAATAATAATAATAATTAAAAAATTTTATTTTTAAAAATGAATTTACATAGAATTATTTAAGAAATTAAAATCAAAAACAACAAATTCATGTAAAAATGCAATAAATGAAAAAGTAAACAATTAATTAAATGAAAGTGAGAAAAAGTTATATGTTATAACAATTAGAGTGGCTATATAGATCCACCGAATATACGCACGCGCACCGACATCTTAGGGTATACTAATTCTGTTATTTCATTTGTAACTTTTTTTTTTTTTTTGAAAAGTATGCATTGATGAGCCTAAGAACCTGCGATACGATTTAGTCGTTCGTCTGTCGCAGCTATAATATAATGAAAATAAAAAGTTTCTTAAATTAGATTCATCATAGTTCAAGCTTAATATAC